AACCATTAACGTGGTTTGAAGAAAAGACAATTGGCCAAAACGCAGAAACTTTACAGACCCCTTCTCAGACCTCTCAGGTGTCACATCAGACCTACAGCAACTGAAGAGGCACAAGTGGTCACCTAACTATCTTCAGGAATCCACACGTTACCAGTGACTGCTGACAGGGGACCATGACAAAGTGCAGGGCTACATGAGAACAAACTTTGTACAGAGAGCCCCTGCTGAAAATGCACCCCCACAGCAGCAAGCAGAAAGTCAACACCGATGGCCCTGCTTGCACAGGATGAAGATTCTAGCAGCAATTCCCGAGGAGCAGAGCACAAGCTCAGGTGGGAAATGCAGAAATCCATCAGACAGGTCCAGCCGGCCTCTCCCTGCACCGCCCACCCTGAGCCCTGGCTCCTGCTTCCCCCAGGCCCAGGAAAGGCTGCTCCAAACCAACTGGTCCTTCCACTTTACAGAGCATGGCTTTAAGCACCTGAATCAGTAAATCAAGGGCTGCACAGCCATCGTACACACACACTGCAGGGCAAAAGCTTTTACTGCCTGTCCCCAGGACTAACTGCCTAAGTGCACATGAACAAATTATGAAGTCCACTTATAAAAATAGAAATCCAATCACACAATCAAAAAGTTTAAAAACATACAGCACAGAGCACGAAGGATGCCATGACTGCAATTCCCCTAACAGTTATGTTTCTATTTATTATTATATACACAGGAACAGCATAAATTCCAATATCTTTAGCCCCCACAAGAATTAAGAAGATTTAACTAGAACTTTGACATTTATTCCTAGCTTTGTTACCACTACCTTTTGTGCAATTTAAGTTTCTTCGATCAGCAACTCTTCTTAGAAGTCTTCTCCTGTCCTTAAGATTTTAATGAGGAGAGTGAGAGTTTTTCTGAGCTATTTCAGAGATTTTTCTAAGATATATGAGACATTTGTCCCAAACTCCCACAGGTAATGCTGACATACTCAGCACAGTAACACCTTCAGCTACCCAGAGAGCACTCAGACTGACTGTGCAGTGTGAAGTTTAAATGTGACCTACTCAGGCTGTTCTCACATGCTTCTGACTTTATTAACCAAACCTGAACGACGAAAAAAGCATGGTACACACTCAATGAACATCCTCTGCATGAGAGATCCAAACCCCAGGATCAATCTACCTCTTTTCTGAAGGGAGTATTTTCAATTGAAGGACTAAGTTTTAACATACTAAAAGCTGTAACAACTACAGAGTTTTATTTAAACAGTTAATAAAAGCACCTGTGGATATAGAGCAAACAAAAGATACAATGTTTTGAAAATATATTATAGAGCTGAGACTGTTAAACATTCCTACCACTGTATCACAGTAACTACCCGTGGCCTTGTCTCTTTCCTGAAAATAGTACTTTGCATAATTTCTACCTCTGTTCCTTCCTCAAAAGACACACAGCTTGCTTAGTCCAAAGCCAGAAAGCCCAAGAACTTCAAGGGAAAACAAAAAGTGCAAAACTCTGTTAAAACATTCACTACCCAGAAAGCTTTGAATACTTCAACTGGAGAAGATGACAAGCAACATCAGCTCCTGCTGAGAACAAGAATTACAGCATTAAAGGGAGCAAAGGCAGTTTTCCAGAGAGAAAACTTGAGACCACTAGACCTCAACAGAAGCTTCAGTCTAGCTAAGAATGATGAGAATTTAACAGCTCACTTTTAAGACAACTACACTGTTCCCATTTTGGTAACCTGGAAGAAAAGGCACCATCACTTAACAACATTTACTCATGCTCTTAATTCAGACCTGGATCCTGAAAAAACATAATTTTGTTCATTCATAGGGCAAGGGTATGCCTTTCAACACTATACTTAAGTCACATATTAGTTAGTTGTATTCAAAACTACTGATTTTATTTTAGTATTAATATTCTTTTAAAAAAATCACAACTTACTCATAAAAATTATTTTCAGATGTTCAGGTTTGTTAATATTTAATAACCAAGGAAAACTCTCAACAATATCACAAATGTTGACAAAAGCAATCTATTCTGCTTTTATTCTGCAATTTATTCTGGAATACCAAATTCCCCCTTTGTGTAACAAGTCTTCTTTTGCTCTCACCTTGTCTTGTACCCCACCTGTTCCCTATGTTATGAAAACATTATGTCTTGCATAAAACACTGCCAGCAATACCGTCATGTGAAGACAGATCAAACGTGTATTTAAGTTAATAGAATCCCCCCAGTCAGCCTGGAAAGGCAATACCAACCCCCAAACTGTAACAAGGGAAACAATAAGCACACCCCAAAGAGATTTATGCCCAATGACTAACTGGAAAATCAGGAGCTGTGAGCTCTGCTATAATGGACTGCAGGAGTACATAACTGACACAGCAGAGTAAGGGGGAGAAAAGAGAGGAACAGTGCAGAAAATGCTTCCACTCCTCTGCAGTTATTTATTTCCCTGGTGCAATGTTCAAATTGGATAGGGTCTCAAACCAAAAGGAAAATTTGGAATGAAACATATTCTACAAGTTTAAAAAGCATCCCAGGAGGAAAGCCCAAGCTGTAAGAATAACAAGGCAAACCAGTAACTGTTTTCTTCTAGAAGCTGATACGGTTTTAGATACGAGCTGCTCTGCTCAACAAGTCTGGCTGCACACCCAAACTCCTCACAACCCGTCACACAAAACTCTCAGATGTGACTCCTGGGCACGTTAGTAAAAAGGTATTGAAGCAAACAGACTTCTGCTCTAGCTGGATTTAAAACCATACGCTCTTTACTACAATAAGAAACCAGTAAAGATCTGGACACCAGGCAATCATAGAGAGAAATACTGTTGATGAAACTATCTCTTTTTCATTACTACCCTCTCACATCTGCCCTTCCCGTACACATTCACAGATTAATATCTGGAAGCAAAAGTGAAAGCACGAGCCCGCGGGAAGCGCCAGCACTGACGGGTTTACAGCCCGGGATCTGAAAGCACAGTTCACCTCCGCGGGGGGCTTCTCGCTCCAATTCATCACCGGCCATCCCCCCCGGCACCGGCAAAGGCGGCACTCGGCAAAACTAAAGACTTTCAAGGTACCGCCGGGCAGCAAGCACGGCACAGCGCGGTTTCCCGGGCGGTTCCTTCCCCGGGCTCGCGGAGACGTACGGCCCTGCCAGGAAGGCGGCCTGACCTCGGCGGGGGAAGGAGGAGCTCCCGCGCCCGGCGGGAGCCCGGGCTGAGGGGGGCGGCGATGGCGCGCAGGCCGCGGCCCCTTTGTGGCGCCCCGGCCCGGCGGTCCCGCGGCAGCTTTGGCGGGCCGGGGCGCTTTGAAACCGCGCACACACCGCGGCGCCGGAGCGGCCCCGCAGACACCGCGCCCCCGCCGAGCGGCACCCGCGGCCCCGGGCTCGGCCTCCCC